AGCCTAACTGAATGCTCAGTCTGTCATGCAATACAATGAATGGTCCATAAAAATTCAGATCTGCTGGCTACTCTAGTACTTGATTCCAGTTTCATGCCTAATGCTATGGTTAACCTCAATATCACCTTCAAATGGGCTATATGCATCAGGCTATGGCATCCCCCTGAAATGTCCAAACCTCAAACACCAAGTATTAATTTAACCCCAGTCAAATATGACTATTCTGGTACTTTCAATCTAGCTTCCCTTTCCCCTGACCCATCCCCATTTTATATTTCCATATATTAAAGTTTAACAATGCATAATAACTCAAGGCAGATAATAATTGATTATCCTCTATATTACTTACACTTCTTCAAACACTTACACTTCTAGACTTCTCCTAAGGGTGGGACATTTATCCTTTTGTATAATACTTTGAGAAGAAACTGGCTTGAACAAGTTAACTAACACATTCCCTCCCTGGATGGTGATTCTGGAAAAGGTATGATTTGTGTCCCTTATGGGTACATGTTCTTGCACAGAGGGCCAGAATTCCCCACAAAGAGAGAGCCAAACCCAATAAGTAGACCATTTGCCTGGGTCTCACCTTCCCTAGATGGTTGGACCATGACTGGCCAATGCACGCTGACAGATTTAGAGTTCCCATAGACTTACACTTACAATGAAAATCTCCCTTAGATGGATAATTGAAAACTCTTAGAAAAAAAAGAGAAATAAATGGCCAAGAGATGAAGAAAGCCAACATAATGTGAATCCTTTGAAAGAAAATCCTAGCTTAAGTTTTTCAATTTTTGAGAGCTTTCCTTCTTTGGTACAGAGTCGCTGATTTAGAACATGCCATTTGACATGTATCCACCACTGTGAAAGGGATAATTGATGACATTTCCAACTCACTAGAAGCCCCCAAAACATCTTTAAATTTCCTTACAAAATAGTCCCGACTAACAGAATTGCTCTGGATTTTCTGTTAGCACAACAAGGTAGAGTGTGGGCTATTGCTAAAATCTCCTGGTATTCTTGGGTAAATATCTCAGGTAAAGTAAAAAAGGACACCCAACAGATATGCTTAAAGGCTACCTGGCTTCATATTCCTGACCAACCAGGTTCCCTTTTCTGTGACACTGGTAGCTGATTACCAAAAGGTATAGGTTCTAGGATTAGGTCAACTTGTTGGTTAGACTTATGACACCATTATTGTCATTATAATAAGAACAATTAAATGTTATATAAATATTACTGACAGTGCTCTGACTCAGAGAACTAACATGTTACCAGTGCACACTGGGACATTTCAGAAAACCAAACTCATTGCCATCCAGTCAATTCTGACTCAGAAATCCCCTTTGGGTTTCCAAGGTGGTAACTACTTACAGAAGTAGATTGCCCCATCTTCCTTCCACAGAGTGGCTGGTGGTTTTGAACTGCCAACCTTCTGATTAGCAGTCAAATGCCTTAGGCACTGTGCAATCAGAGCTCCTATAGGGACATTTAAGGGTACCTTGATGACACTATTCTGTTGCTGAACTTGAGTTCCACTTCATAGGTTTCCCAATTGCACAAGTAAGTTCTAAGTAGTTCCTCTACTGTGACCCTATCCCATACTTTCCTTTCTCAAAAGGATCACTAAAGACTGAGTGCTAAACCTAAATATCATAAAGGCTGCAGATGACGTCTGGGCATTCAGAGAAAATGGCAGCTGGGGTCTATAGACTTAGGTTAGACAAGTGGCCATCCAAAAGAAATTGGAATGAAAAAATCCATGTGGAAAAAAACACACCATCCTGTGTGTGATCAAAATATTTCATGGAATTCCTTGATCAAAAAGAGAGAAAATGTATGAGAGTCTAAAATCAGAGGTACTTAGTGTGTGTAAATAGAGCAGCCTGAAAGTGAAGCCTTGACTCCATCTCAAGTCTTAAGTCTTGACATGAGTCTGGAATCCAGGTCAAATTTTAAAACTGCCTTTTCTGACAGTAGCTTTTCTAACCTGTGCACTTACGTATAAACTGAAGGAAAAAAATTTTTTTCCCCTCTGGTAGATGGTTTTTTTCTTTGTGGTCTGGCAGATTCAGGATGTCCAAGCTATTCCCAGGATTTTTTTCACCCCATGCTCAACACATGCAGGATATGACAGCTTATGCTTGAATGGTCTTGGTGTCCAGCATTTCGATAAATCTTCTATACATAGAATCCTAGGAAAAACACGCTTGAGCAAGCAATTTTAATAACAGATTCCCAGAAAATCCTGTCCTACCATTGTCCTGTGACCATCCTGTAATTAACTGAAGAGCACATGTCCTTGAATTTATGTATTTTAACCAATCATGTAACTTCCCCTATATGTTATTTGCCAGTCTCTGTTAAGTCCCAGCTCTCAGGTATCTCCCCTTCAACTCCCTTGACTGTCTTTCAGCCAATCATGATTTTGTAGATTTAGTTCCTGCTTTGACTGTATAAGCATGCTGGCATCTTTCTTGTCCAGCAGAGTGGCGATCTTTATTCTGAATTTGGATGTCTTCCTGGTTTGGACCACCTCTGGACTTAAAATAAATCTTTTAATTTTACTCTCACAGAGTGAGTCTTCAATCTAGGACAGCTCTCATATCTACTCTACCTTCCTCATTTTTTGAATTTGCATGCTATATATTTTTTCATACTGTAGTTTTAGCATATTTAAATATTATAGTTAAAGAGAATTTCTTATAGACAGCATACAGTTAAAAATAATCCATTCTTACAATCTCTGTATTTTAAATAGTATGTTGAGACCATTTACATTTTATACAATTATTGATATATCTGTATTTTTGTCTCCCATTTAATTGTTTAATGGCTTGATCCTTCTGTTTTTAATTTTCCTATTTCCTGCTTACTTTTGAATTATTTGAATATTTTCTATCTGTTTTAATCCATTTACTTATTGTGATTTTGACTGTATCCCTTTGTTTAGTTTTCAAGGTAGTAAGTGTAATATGCATGCTTAATTTTTTCACAGTCCACTTAAAATTAGCATTTTACTACTTTAATAGAATGTAGATCCTGTCATAAAAATTTCTTTATCCTTTCCCCTTTTACCACCCTTTGAAAAAATAACCCTTAAACACTTTGAATGCTCTTTCTTCTGACCTCCTTAGGCAGCCCTTTTCACTCCCATACTCCTCGGGTTCATCTCTAAAGTATATCTCCCAAGGCTCAGTATACTCTTTGAAGCCTATAGGTTTTGGCCATTGCCAACATGACCCATGATTCCTACTCCCCTGATTTTTCCCTTTGAAGTAGATTGGATGTTCACTCTGTTAGAGATCCTCTCCTGGTAATAATTTTCATTCTTATTTTATGACTAGGAGAGTTAGAGTTAGAAATATCACTTCTACAACAGGAAACTCTTTTTGTATTAACCATCTAAAGAAGAGACAATTGTCAGAACAAGAGATTGCTTTGAAGAAAAAGGATTGTTTCAAATTCGGGATAAGGTGGGTTTGAGCAGGGTTTTATTTTAAGATGCAGTTACTATCCCCTTTGTGTAAATGTCTCAGTTTCTGGGTGATGCAAATGGTTGAATGCTTGGGACCTGATTTGCTTCTGAAGACCTTATGGAGTAGTTGTACTCTGTATTCATGGTGTTGCCATGAGTGTGAGTGGACTTCCTTGCAACTGGTTTGATTGATTTTTTTTTTTCTTGCAAATATCCAGTATTTCTGATAAAATATTTAGACAATTTCCTTATAGGCTTTGTTAAAAATAAAAGCCCCACTATAAATCTAAACTTTACTAGCAAGCTTAGCTGAGCATCAGTCCTGTGACAATCCTAATGAGTTTTACCAGTTATTTTTCTTATGTACTATCAATATTATTTAGAAATTTTTAACTATAAAAATCTACTGATGAGAAATAAATGTTGAATTATGTATTTTTTTTTTTCCTGTGAAGATTGTCCCCTTGTTGGTAAGTTTTTTTTTTAAAATTAATTAATTAATTAATTAATTTATTGTGATCTGGGTGAAAGTTTACAGAGTAAATTCACTTTCCATACAGCAGTTCACACACTTTTTCTCGTGACATTGACTACAATTTACCCCAATGCAACAGCTCTCCTCCCCCTTCCTCGTGATAGTTACCTCTTCCCTGTGTCCATCCCTCCATGCACTCCTGCCCCCTGAACTGTCTCCCTGTGAATAAACAGCCCCTCTTTCTCCCATGATTGTTCTCTTCAAGGAGTGTATCTACTTCAGGTA